GTTCATATTAAAGCACTAAGCTGTCCTAAAACTCTAAGCTTTTATGAGGCTGATGAAGTGCTTTTATGCAACAATTTGATTACTATGTAAAATAAAATTAGTGTGAAAGAAAACATTAAAGGCTGCTGTATTATGAGTTTTATAGCAGAGACTGAGATGTGGTTTTATGTAGGCTGCTCTGCAATAGCAGCAGAGAAAACAGGAGAGTAGAGAGGATGTTTTATCAAGTATGCTAATCTAGTCAGTTTGGCTCATTGATCCTTTATCTGACTGAAGTTTGTGCAAATTAGAATCCACAACCCTGATCATGGGTCTGAAGTATAAGCATCCTAACAGCAGTGTGCATTGATAAATCCATGGTGCTTGTTCATTGCTCTAAGGAAGGAGACAGGTTTGTAATAAAATACTTGTCTTTATGCCATGTCCTTCTCAAGTTTATTCAACAACTTTCTTCAGTGAAGGTGGAATTTAATCTTATGTGCCCTGTTGTGAGCTGTAAAAGTGCAAAATAGCCAATGATTTAATCGTAGTCTTTATTTCCACAAATGGAAAGGTGCACGGAAATGTGCACAACCAAAGGACTGATATAACGGGGAGCAATTCTGCACAAAACTGTCCGCAAGAGCATCTTGTCAAAAGCTGATTTCACTGTTTGGCTTTTCATTGTCTAAACTTTTAAATAAGCCTTTACTTTCATGTGCATTCTAGTTGTGGCATACTTCTAATTTCCTTAATGACAGTGTTGCATTACAGAGCAGTAACATCTGCAGTGAAGGTTTGTCCTCTTTCTCCTTTCATGTCACTTTAAATCCCCATAAAATGGCTGCTGAAGCACTTTAATATGGAAGCAAATCGTTAGGGTTTGTATAAGGAACTCATGACTCTAAACTCGTGTCATATCTGATTAATTATGGAAGTTTGTGGAGCTGAATATTCTGTGCCTTACCAAATTATCAAACTTGTGGAACAGCTGTTTATATTTTATCATGTTCCAGCCATAAAGTCTGAGAATTAAAAAATAATTGTGAAATAGAGCGGAAATAAGACAAAAAAAAATGGTTTTAAAACATCTTTATAATTAAAGCTCTGACATGCAAGTAGAAGTAAGCACTTTTCCATGCAACTGTAACAGTACAGCCCTGCAACGACTAGCTCTGGACAAGCAAGCCTTGAATGTCATGAAAGCAATAAAAGATCTATGTGCTTTTGGTCAGTGAAAAGGAACATTTAAATAAACACACAATCCCAAATTTGGTTTAAAAAAACAACTTATTTTCTAATCAGCCCTGACTAAATACTGGAATCCCCTTTTATAAGTCAAAGTCTTGTTAGAGTCTGGTTTTCAATAACTAAACACAGAACATTTGCCATATTCTTCTTTGCAGAATAACTATTTGATTAGGAACATTCATGACTCCCTCTTAGACTTTAGCCTGTTGTAACAAAGGCTATATTTAGGATCCATTGATTACCTAAAAGTAATCATTAATGCAAGTCTTGTGTCTTGAGTTTTAATCCCAGGCTGTAGGAGAACTTCTTTGGCCTTCTGCCCTATGACCACTGCATTCAGGTATTAGCCCCCCATGGAAGAGTGACGAGGGGTATCTACAAACATGTGCCAGTTATAAAATGTTTTGTGTTGAAACAAAGGAAAAGAAAATGCCATATGCCCTTAATGAAAACAAATTTATAATGTGCAAAATCTAACAAGATTAAAGGGGTGGACATGGAGGTGGCGCAGTGGTTAGCGCGCCCATGTACGGAGGCCTTAGTCCTCAACGCAGCCGACTTGGGTTGTGGAGCAACATTAAAATGGAACCCTATATGTTCTAAATGCAAAAAACGTGCTGGTTGGGGATTATTGTAGTTAGATTAAGCAGCTTAAATAAACAATAAAAAAGATAAACAAGATTAAAGGCAGACTCTACATTGAGTATGCATGGTTGATAGGGGGAGGCGGCCTAAGGGTTAGGGCATAGAGCTTAGAATCCAGAGCTTCTGAGTTCGAGCCCCACACTCCCACAGACTGCTACTCTGGGTCCCTGAGCAAGACCCTTAACCCCAATGGCGTAACGACACAACAATAGGCCCGTAAGCAACATTATCTGGGTGGGCCCCATACGAAGTACAACACCCCATCCTCCGCCACCGTAGACAGGTCAAAACATGCCCCATACATACACACCTCATTATTCTTTACCTTCACTAGACATGGAGATACTTTAGTATATTCTGCTGTAGAAGTGTTTTATCAGGCTTCCTTGAGTTTCACAGCCCCCCTCCTCACCTACAGTATGCTCTCTCCATTCATCTCCTGGTTGCAATCTTTACTCACTGCAGCAGCAACGTCCTCCTTTGCCTCTTCGGTCCTTTGAAAGAACGTATTAATTTCCATTCCTCCAGCAGCTCTTCTTTCCTTTTTCTTTTCTGGAATCCGCTTAAGTACCGCATTTTGTTATCTATCGTTGCTAACACATTGTACGTAACAGTTATGGTCTTAATCTACGCTCTGGATTACCCATAATTCCAAGTCGTAGTGTAAAAAAAAAAAAAAGTATTCAAATACATCATTCTTTGAAGATCTTTATTGCAGTTTGAAACATATAGGAGTGTATTTTTTACCAACCGTCTAATGAACTATACACTGTTATTAACATAGTAATTAAAAGTACCACTGTCTGCTTTGCAATTGGTGTCGTCGGCTCACCATCATGTTGAAATCTGCCATGTCTTGGGATATAAATAAGGTCTGGCCAATCAATCTAACTAATAACTAATCAATCAGGTGGGTTTAGGAGGATGTTTTCGCACCATTACATCTGCAAAGATACATCCTAGTTTACAACTGAATAGGGGCCAATCAGGTTTCAATGATGGGGCCCCTAAGAGGTCGGGGGCCCCTAAGCAACTGCAGTCTCTGCTTACCGATATTTACACCATTGCTTAACCCCACACTGGTGATGGGTTAAAAGCAGAGGTACATTTCTCCAATGTGAGATCAATAAAGTTCTATCGTTATTATGATTAAAATGCAACAAACCAATAGAAACTTGTATCAAAAATAGCAAAGAGACACTGACACATAGAAAAATAGTTGTTTTTTTTTCTACTAACCAGTGTCCCATAACTGCCGAAGTATTCGTCATCCTGCCAGGGATCCTCTAAGGAAGTGTCTTCCCCTCCAGCAGCATTCTGGCGCAGGTAGTTGGCAGGAACATATCCGATCTCCCCCTGCAGCTCTGCCCACCACCAATCTGCTGAAGGCTTGGAGTGAACCAGCAGGGCGTCCCCTGTGCAGAAACTAAGCTGTCAGACAATAAACGGTCAAATGGTGTCTGTCAGTTTTGTTACTTAGCCTTACTACAGCTTTAACTGAGAGGGGAAAATAACCTGCTCAGAGCCGCTGGCAGTGAAATCACACAGGGCGACATATTCCTGAGGAGCAGCATCCTCATCCTCTCTTTCCTCTTTCTGCATATTCTACACACAAAGTTTGGACATACCTGAATTTGCTTTTTATTTAAAAAAAAAAAATAAAACCCGACTTAACTTCGACAAAAGCACCAGCCGGCTTTGTACCAGCCAAAGCAACTTCAGTTGGTTGCGCAAAAAGCGGTAAAACTTATTCAGCGTACGTTGTTGACCACTTCCTGTTTGTGACGCTTTGACCAAGGCGCATTCACGGTTGTCGGAAATGTCGGTACTCTTGGATTTAAAGATAATCTGATACAATCAAATGGATAAGACCGTCCGCTTTTATTGAAACACAAATAGGGTAAAATATATTTCTGTTGTAGAAGCGATAATACTTCTCGGATACATTTCAAATGAAACAACTGAAGGGTTCAGCTCTCAACAACTCGCTTTTGTAATCCAAAATGTAGCCTACGGAGGGATAAATTTAACTTAAACGCATCTTCAGCTCCAACAGATTAAACTGTTCAACAGACATGTAAAATTAAATGTGTAAGGAAGAGGATTAGGGCCACTGAAAAAAAATAACTGATTTCTAAATTTTATGTCAGTATCATATGAGAAAAAGTCACAATTCTGACTTTAACCTCAGAATTTTGACTTTTTTCCTCACAATTCAGACTTTTTTCTCTGAATTCTGACTTTAATCTCAGAATTCTGACAACAAACATGTCAGCATCAAGCCGTTGCCAGGTCTGTTTTAATGACTAAACTAGCTATCTTGTTTTAATCACCCTCTGTCCTTCCATTAATTAAATAGCATGACGTAAAAAGTCGCCTAATTCTGTAATTTTCCTCCCAAACATCTCACATCTTCCTTCATGATGCCCATCTACATTACGATCCAAAAGTCTGAGATTAAAGTCAGTATTCTGAGATTAAAGTCAGAATTCTGAGGGGAAAAAAAGTCAGAATTCTGACTTTTATTCTCATATTATACTGAATAAATATTTAAAAATCAGTTATTTTTTTCAGTGGCCCTATTCCTTTTCCATAAAATGTGTCTTCAAGGGAAATTAGATTTTGTTATTTAGATTTTTAATGTAAAAAAAGGCTATCACAACAAACAGGGTGTATGTGGAAAAAGGTATTGCCCCTTTGTTATGGCTTAATCAACCTTTTGGTTCAATGTCACTTTCCACATGCACAGTATTGGATCTTATAAGACCTCACTGTTCCAGCAGAACTACACTGAGCGACACAAGCAATGATCCATGCGGTCCCAAAAAGAGAGCGGTCTAATATTGCATTCCTGGTTAAGTTCTAAAGTGACAAACACTGAATGTTGATTTTTGCATTAAAGAGAATTTCAGAAAAATTACAGACATCATACAAGCTGGTAATACTATAATAATCTGCGCTTGCTCTGCTTCTTCTCAGGAAACTTGTATTAAGAGGATCTAAAATATTTAAATGTAACAAAAAAAATGTCAACAAAAAAAAATAAAAAATGTTTTCATAGTACTGTAACTTAAAATGGATGATTATCACACCAAGTGTACAAAAATATATTTTTTTTATTATTCCAAAAAAAGAAAAATCCCCAAAATACAGACAGTACAAGTTAAAATGATCCACAGCTTCAGTAGTGCACAAACCCAATGGGAAATCTCAAAGTAACGCAATACCTTTAGAAAACATTTGTGCTCATAGATAAGTACTTTAAACTGTGTTTTTTATTCATGCAACACAAACTTTATTTACGAGGCTATTCTATTCTACTCGTATTCTATTCTTTCCTGCAACACATTGTCAGTTGACATCTCAGCTGTTGCTAGTCTTTGACTTCAGAAAAGGCTTATGGAGGACGTCATAAAGTCGTCTTGCCTGTCAACACAAAACATTAACATTGTAAATTAGCAATCTTTAATAAAAGTTCAACATGTTCATGATAAGCCTTTCTTAACAGATATTCTTCACCTTTTGTGGTCCCAAGCCTGGACAGAGAACCAAGTCTTCTTTAGAGGCATCAATGATTCCTTTTACCGACTGCAAAGGTATAAAAGTATGTTATCTGTATACTGCCTGCATTATTCTATCCAACTGAATTGAATGGTTCAGTCTGAGAGCTAATATGCTAAAATACTGATATGATAGAATCAATATGCTTTATGAAACATTTCCCCAATAGTTTTCATTTCTTGACCTTATCTGGCAACAACTGATAGGTATTTTGTGACACACTACCTAGTAATTTGCAGATTTCAAAGTTTAAACATGAAAAAACTTGATATTTTAATTAGCTTGTATAAATAAAATGTTAGTTACTTTATTCATTTACTACTCCTGTTAAAGAAGTATTATAGATCATTCTGAAAAGAGCTTTGGTCAAGCCAACTTTATATCTTTTGTGTAGAAATACTCACAGAGAATGTGGATAGCAAGGTTATGGCATCAGTTTTGTTTACAGATTTCACAGTTGTCAGGCAATCTGTAACCTACACAAATAAACACAAGATGAATCAATTATGACCTAGTAATATGTCAAATCAGCTGTATTTCAGTATTTTATATCTTCTTATTTATATAAAAAAGTTTAGCGTATTTGTAAGATAAGAACAAGAAGAAAAGATTTTCTTAGAGAATACAATTCTTCATACATGCCTTTGAAAGATAGTTTTTTTCTACTTGCTCCTTCAGAAGGTCTGCTGGCTTCTTCTCATATGACTTGTATGTTTCAAGGTAACGCCCTGCTTCTTCTGGACTACCAATTTATTTTTCAAGAAAACACAAAAAGAAGAAGTAGAATAAGCTAAAACAGAAGATAAAACAATGCAGTTTAAATGCAAGTTTATACTCACTTTACAAACTTTAACTGTTATAGGTGTTTCTTCTACTTCACAAGTTAACAGAAATAGTTTCACTGAACACTGATGTGTGTCATTTGGTAATTTTACCTCCAAGCCAAGATAAGAGTGCAGTCAGCCATGATACAGATGCGAGCTAATTCCTTTAGTGCATGATGAGGGTCTTTCTGTATTAAAAAAATAAATAAATAAAGATTTACAATGTATTATTCCACATTATTCTTAACAATGAACTCTTCTAGTGGTAGTGATCTAGTGGTATAACAGGTATATTCTATACAAAAAGGCCATTTTGTGACGTTTCTTTTTTGACATTTTTGCTGTTGCCTATTGTGCCGAAAATAGTAAACAGCTGCATGTTTCAGCTGCACTATTAGTAAGCAAATCTATTTCTGTGGAATTAAGATACACTTCATGGATGAACAGCTCAGCAAGAACAGCTTACATTAGAGTCACTCTTCTGTTAAAACTGATTTTAATAATTTAACTGTGAAAAAGATGACTTTCCTTTTTCAAATCAACTTGTAACCAGTTTGAACATATCTATTTAGGAATGAAAATATTGGTTTGAAGGTTTCTGCGACTTTAAATATTTTAAATATTATAAATATATAAGTTGTAAACACCCTTAAAAACAGTGTTTTATTTTTAAATCTAAACAATAACGAGTTAGATTCGGGTTCAAATAATTTTGTTGAACATGAAAAGAATCTATTGCAAGTGTAGGTACAAAGGAAATAGAAAACGTATACAAAAATAAGAAAACAAACAAATCCTTTTTTTTTCTCCCTTGTCTTCTCATCATTTTTTTTTTTTTTTTTTTAAATAAAGAATAAAATAAGCAAACCTGTAAAAAAAACAAAAACAAACACCAATTACCAGAACTATATAAAACTAACTTAAACATGTAATGTAACTTTGCATTAGCTGGTGCATCACAGCAAGATAGAAAAGGATAGACTTCATCAAAACATTTTTTTGTAGTTAACTAGAGCTGCAATTAAAGATTATTTTGAAACTTGATTAATCTGCTGATTATTTTTTCGATTAATCGATTAATAATCAGAGAGCAAAAGGTTTCTTAAGGAATAATGAATCTATCTCTGTTACACGGATATGTACTAAAGGCTTTTATGGTAGCTGTAATTAAACCTTTACTCAAGAAACCTTCTCTTGACTCAGATGACTAGGTCAATTATTGACCTATATTCAATCTTCCTTTCTTATCTTAAATTCTTGAGAAAGAAGCTGCCAAATAAGTGTGCGACCACTTACAACTTTTTAAAGAGGTTCAGCCTGGCTTTAGAGCTCATTAAGCACTGAAACAGCTCTGGTGAAAGTCCCCAATATATAGATAAAGGACTTGTATCTGTATTTGTCCTGTTAGAACTCATTGCAGCATTTGACACAGTTGATCATAATATTCTTTTAAAAAGACTTGAATATTATGTGGGAAATCAAGGAATAGCTCTAGATTAGTTTAAATAGTTTCTATCTGACCGATATCAGTTTGTTCACGTCAATGATAGAGCTTCCTCATGCTCCAGGGATACCTAAAGGAGTACCACAGGGATCAGTGCTAGGATCAATTCTCTTTACTATATAAATGCTTCCCATCGGTAGAGTTATTTGACAGCATGGGATTCATTTCCATTGTTATGCTGATGATACTAAGCTATATCTGTCTATAAATCCAGACGAAGCTAACCCATTACATAGATTACAGGCATGTCTTGAAGACACAAAAACCCGGATGACTCTTAACTTTCTGCTGCTGAATGCAGACAAAACACAAGTTATAGTCTTTGGACCAGAGTCTTTGAAAAAGAAGCTGATTAGTCAGTCACTTTAGATAATAAAATAAAAAAATCTTGGTGTTAATTTTGGGACCTGTCATTTCAATCCCATATCAAAGAGGTTTCTAGAATTTCCTTGTTTCGTCTGTGGAATATTGCAAAAAATTTGAAATCTCCTGTCCAGGGCTGATGCTGAGAAACTAGTCCATGCATTTGTTACTTCAAGCTGGACTATTGTAATTCTTTACTATCAGGAAGTCCGCAAACTGTAGTTAAAAGCCTTCAGCTGATCCAAACTGCTGCAGCCAGACTGTTGTTGAAAATTAAAAAGGCAGATCATATCTCTCCTATCCTAGCTTGTCTTCATTGGCTTCCTGTTAAATCAAGAAATAGAATTTAAAATCCTCCTTCTCACATATAAAGCTTTAAATGGCCAAGCTCCATCTTATATCAGAGATATGATTGTTCCTTATGTTCCTAACAAAGTACTTTGCATGATTAGTGCTCTGAGTAAGTTTCTCTTATAGCTAAAGGCATGTCACTAAATTAGTAGATGATTATTTTAATAATCAATTAACCATGATTAATTCAAATATTTGTTTCATTCCTAAAAGACACGGATTTATGAAACAATTTTCCACTCTACTCTGACAGCTATAGTGTTTGTCTGCAGCATAGGTACCAACTGGTATCAGTCTTATCAATCATTACCACATTACTTACCACATCTACTTGAACCAGCAACACTCGTAAGGTGAATGCGTTTCCAAGCTGCTTTAAACGGTCATGGATATAGTTCGGGTTTAGGTTGTGATACCTCAGGCTTCAAATCAGGCCCAAAACCGTGGACAAATAGAGAAAAATAAAACACAGAACAGAATAAGGGTTAGGAAAAGATTTCACCAATTAACATAAACCCAACAAGTCATCATCCTTGATGCTAAATTATTTACTTTTAAGGGCAGATGACACATTCCAATATTTCACCATATTACTAATAAATGCATAATAATATGCAATAATAGCAGACAAGTTCTAGGACTTCAGGCAGGCTACTTAAAGTTTTCTAAACCTGAAATAAGGAAACTGAGTTTTCCGTTTCACTAAGAGAGTTTGCTCAACCTGTTTCCAGACCATGATTAGTGGTAGCAACATACAGCAACATACATACATACAATACACAGAAGTTCAGATTTTCCAGCTCTAGAGGCCGTCGTTCTGCACCCATTGAAGGTGTAGTGCCACTGGCATAGCCAAAATCACGCCTGTGACATTGCTAGAAACAAGTCAGTCACATAACTCCTGCTGCGTGCCGCTATATAATGGTAACATCTAAATCTGTCACTCCAGTCGCCCGAAAAAATCATCCCATGTGAATCTACTATTACTGCAGTAGTTACCCACAGCACACAAATATACACATATCAGCATCATAGACCTACAGGAGACCAATATTGTGTAGTAAATATTGCAATGACATACAACCAACAGACGAGGTGAAAAATTGTAAAAATAGTGGCCCTGAATTCATCACAATATTTAATAAAACTTTTGCCACTGCCTTGTTTTTCTCCGGCTCTATTTTTGGAAAATTGTTCAGACAGATCATTTCTTGTTAATCTAATAGCCTTCCAAAACCACTCACCTAAGGAAAAGAGCACAAGTTGTCTGTCCCAGGATGTAATCGGGCGCAACTTCTCCAAACTCCCAGGGGACACTCCTAACAAACTTTAGAATGGGATTACCCCTCTGCAAAACCAAAAACAAACACAATATTCCGTCTTTAACAAAAAATAACAGGCAATACTCACTAACAAGCAAATGGATGAGATGATACACATTCAAAAAAACTTAAAAACCAATCCACTGGATTTTTTTTCCAAGTTGGAAGACGTTTCGCTTCCCATCCAGGAAGCTTTTTCAATTCAAAATGTCAGAATGCGCGTTGAGTTCGAGGACCAAAAAATGCCTTGTTTTGGTTTAGAAAACATGCAAATTGTACCCGAAGAATGGCTACGCCACTTACGAAAGGGGAGTCGTTTGAGTTCTTTATAAGCCGTCAATACCAATACTAGTCTACGCCTCTGAAAGGGTGTTGTTAGAGGGAAGTGTTGGCCTGACTGAACAGGCGAGATGTTTTGATCCCCTGTCTTCGTTTTCAAACTTAGAACAGGGTTTATACAGGAATGAGCAACTCTAATTTAATGCTTTTTAATGCTCTTAGAAATAATTTTAATGCATTCAACAAGTACCCCTGATTCCATATATATACACAGCAAATTCCTTCTTCATCTTTACCGTGGGCAAGCTGCAATTCCTCGATTTCCAGCCACTTTTGTTGAAATGAGCATTTTGCCCATTCTCTAGCCTTTTCTCCATCTCAAGCTTCTTTTCTGAACATACGGCTTTACAATCAACCGCAAGCATTTACGTGCAAATATGCAAATATATCGCGATGTATTTACAAATATATATATCGTTTAATAAATTGTTTTTATAAACTTTTTTTTCTCTAAATAAAGCATTTTAAATGCCAAAATAAATCTGCCAAACATAATCACATTTAATAAATTTTATGGCCAATTCAGGCCGTAATTCAAAAAAATAATTATTTAATGACTTTTAATGAACATTACAAAGTCTGGCGGATTGCTTTTAACTTTTTTGGAATAACTATCCCTTAGCAAAAAGTAGTTTATTCAAGTATACTAAAAGTGCACTAATTTCATACTTAAAATCAGGCAGTGCATGTAGAGTTTACTTATTCTAAACTATATTTCATATACTTAACAATAGTATAGTCAAGTGTACTTGACTATACTATTGTTTACATTATTGTTTACTAAAGTATACTTTAAGTATACTTTAGTAAACTTAAAAATGTCCCAATTTAGTTCAAAAAAGTATTACTTTAGTAATTCTTCAAATACACTAAAAGTACATTGTTGGGTATACTTTCTAAACTTATACTTAAGTATTCTTAATAAAATATACTACATATATACTACTTTTTGCTAAGGGATGACCTGGATGACTAAGAATCTTCCCCAGCATGAGATGATAAAAGGATGCACATAAAAGGACACCTTCCACCTTGAGTCCAAGCTTACCTGTCGAGGACTGACAATAATGCTGCTCCCAGAGCCCACTGGTTTTGGACCCTGGATGAGGCTTGGATCTGACTTGTGACAGCTCCTCTCAGATGGCTCTAGTTTGTCCTTATTCTTTTTGCCCTCCTCGAGTTGAACTTCAGTCCTTTTATCACAGTCTTGGGTCTTTTCAGAGCCCCCAGTGCTGGACGATACAGATTCTGGCTCCTTTGGCTGCAGACTGCAGACCCCAGCTCCTCCTGCCATGGGCTGTTTGGGGGCAACATTTCTCTGTGGAGCTGCAGCTGCTGTACCTTTACTCTGGACGATGTACTCTGCATAGGAGAGGGGCTGCACAGAGCATTTAGCAATTGGCTCTGTGGTGGACGTTGATGGAGAGCTTGTGTTTTGTTTTGACTGAAACTGAGACTTTGGCTGTAAAATAAAAATTAACAGAGTTTTTGAAAACTGCGAATGAAAATGTGTAGGTTTGTAGAAAATCTACGACCCATGATAATGTTCTTGATACACTATTTTGAAAAAGGAAGTCAAAAGAGAACGTTATTTAAATAGACAGAAGTTTAAAACAGTTAGCTATAAACAAAGCTACATCATGCTAAGAAGGACTAAAGAATACATACCGGTATTCTTTCTTTAGTGAACGCAGAATCGTCCAGGTTGATGTGAAACCTTTTCATTTCCGTTTTTATTTTTAAATCTTTTTCATAAAATAAAACGTTTCACATTAAAATCATCTATTATGAACCTCTTCTTGTTTTTATTGAAATTTTTTATGGCGGTTGGCAAAAACGTTAGGTGAGCATTTCCGCCACCAACTGGTAAGGAGTGTTATGTAAACCGGATATCTATGATGTAAACCTCCACTAACGTTCCATAAGTAAAGAAAGACTGGCGTTTTCACATCCGGAGTCGGGACTACCAAAATAAAAGCACATCTTAACATACCATTTTTTTTCTGTTGCTTATTTCGTGAGTGAATAAAAATCTGAGTTCTGTAAACAGTAGCATTAGCTACCCTTGACTTTTGTAGTGACACATCTATACACAGTGGAAAAAGGACTTAGAAAACCCAGATAGATACCTAAAATTGTTGTTGTAGCACACCTTTATGTTTAAAATCTGCAGATTTGTTTGAGTACAACACATTTTTGCTTTAATGTCTATTTACACTCCCTCAATTATTTCTCTGTAGTTTATTAAATTTGCATGCATTGCCTCAATGTGGCTTGACATTGCTTTATATCCAAGTGCAAAAGCAGTGAAATCTACAACCAATATTCACAGTAAGCAGCTAACCATTTTTTGGCAATAGGAGTTTATAACAATGTATTTCTGTGCATATTGTGGTGATCTTTGAGCCTCTTTTTTGCTCACTAAACTTGGATGTGTTTTAGTTTATGTGACTGATTTAATAGTATGAAAATTGTCAGCCACTATGTTTCATAAGCAATTTAAAACTATTTTCTGTCTGGGTATTTGAGAAGCTGTGATTTTATAGTGATCCCAGTTTTCTCAAATACCAAAAGTCTTTCCTTTTTAAATGGGAAGTTTCTTCTGTTCACTGCTGTCAGATGCTTACCCAGAGAATCCTGGAGAATCAAAGATGCAGCCTATGCTTCCTTGGATAGAGACCCTTTTAATGATTGGTATGGTCTTGTTTAATTTCAAATAGAACACAAAGTCTGTAAACAAGGGAAGTTGTTTCTCTTCATGTCATTTGCATGCTCTCCCACTGCATTAATGAGTTTTATTGATAATCATTGGCTGCTGCATATTGCAGGCATTTACTACCCAAAAACATGGATATTAAGGAAATTGGCCCCTATTAGATAAGTGCACCCTGCCTCTTATTTAATCAACAATAGAACCTTCCTTGTCTATTGATTGGTTGGGATTAATAAATTCTCCATAGTATCTGAATCTAGATTTGATCCTTCAAAAGAAATGTGCAACACAAAATAATTTACGAAGGTTAAGTATAGGCTGCTGAGCATGGCTACATTGGTTACATCTATTGTATCTTGTAATTCTGAGAAAAATCCAATTAATGTTTAAGTTCATACCATTATCACAAAAATGTCATGGATAGCAGGTAGCTGCATGATTACGAGGTTTACAAATCTATAAAGGGAATTCCAGCAGATAAATAAACAACAAACAAATGGATGAATAAGAAGAACCAATTTTATTTGGCTGAAAAAGGCTGTTGTATGACAACAAAGAGCATGCTTTGTGAGTAGAAAAATAAAACGCTACTGACACTATTTCTGATGACAACAGAAAACCACAAAAAAAAGACATATAACATCTCGTTTAGATTATTGCCTTTAAGTTTGGTTAGATATGCTAAGGTTCAAGTTTTGACTTTTGATAAAAATGAGACACTGTGTAATTAGACATCAGCATTTACTACTGGTTTGATTTCTAACACTAAATCACAGTTTTTTGACCATGAAATGTACCATAAGCACACATTCAGCATGTGGAAACTCTTGTTTTGGAGGGTAGGTGTTTGCTGTAGCGTTGCCTTGGAAATGGTGACGCAGACGTTCAACCCGCGAAGCATGGCATGCTGGGATACCTCTCTTCATCATGGCGGAGCAGAGTGTGAGCTAACGTTAACGGCTAGCATATTTACCAACTGCTTGATTTCGCGCAATTTAGTCCAGCATTCACCTGGTCCCGCTACTCACCTTTGTAGCAACCGGAGCCTTTTATCATAAACTGGTAAATATGTGCTACACAAGTAAAACTGTGACCGAGGGAGAAGTTTGCTTTGTTGACATCAGTAGCAGCTAAAACATAGCAGCTATAAACTAGCTTAAATGTTTGACTGTATGTGCGTTGTCGGCGCGTGAGGCCGCATCTTTTCATAGGCCGGATATTTGGCTCCTGCGGCCAAAAATAAAATATAAATACAGCTTTAAACAGCTTGTAGAAATTGAAAACGAGGTATTTCTTGTTATAAAATTGATTGTGTTGTGTTTAGCTAAAGCGAACGGATGCCATATGGAAAATAAATGTTAGCTAGGGCATTGTAGGCCTGGATAACGTTATCTAACGTGTTTACGGGCTGGCGATGTGCACACAACTTTTTTCTCATTCAGCTCCGCTTTCGATGCGGGTTTGAATACAGTGTTAAACGCCTTTTAATCCCAGCACATTGCATTTATTTCAAATCAGCGAAATTAAGTCGAGATTGTTGATTAAACATTAAAACAGCAAGTTGGTAAGCGTATATCGTGCCGCTTGTGTTAACATTGTTTGATGAGGACATACAAAAATTATTAACTGTAATTATTATACAGAATGAATGGTAATTTCTTCATAGAGTTGTGCAGTCTGGGTTCTTTAAGATCAGTATGTTTTTATAGCCTCATTGTCAGTTTATAATGCTCCAGATCATACGTGCTCCTGCTGCATGTATTTGCATTGTTGTTTGTGCTGTTTTTAAATCAAGTATAATGCCGTTATAAACAGGTCTGCAACTATTGATCGCTTTGCAAATCGACTAATCTGTTATATTTTTTTACTGAATTTAAGCCACGTGCAGCTAAAACTTTCATTCTGAGGTAGTTTCTGAATAGATAAAGTTGATAGACTAAGGGGTCTTAATCGTGAATTCTAAATGCATATCTTTCTCTGCTCTAAGTGGTTCTTTCAACAAATGACACATTTAGAGAATGTGTTCTCCGGTCATTAAATTAACTATTTTTAAAAAATATTGGCTAATTGTGATTAGGCAGATCATTTTCGATCAGAGTCAACGTTATTATTTTGCATACATTTTTTTTCTGACAGATTGTGTCACTCAAATTGAAGCTAATAGTTCCTGTTAATCCTGACACTAAAGTTTAAATTTTTTCCAGCATACACACTTTTAGTTTTGTCTGCCAATAGATTGCCTAATAAAAGTCAAATGTCTTTGTTTATAGGTGATAGAAGCTCAAACGTCAGTAACAACATTTTTTGCTGTTTTTGAGTAGACAGATATGTCAGGAGTAAACCCAAATGATGGGAGCCCAATTAGCTGCCATACACTAGGGCTGAACATTTCTCTGGCATTCGCAATTTGATCTCAATTTGAATAAATGCAATTTCCAAATGGCAGAGGCGCTCAAGGTTTTGGAGAGTGAGATACTATTTGTCTCACTCCAGCAAGTGTGTTCCCCACCTCACAGAGGAGATCAAAGAGCTGCAGCTAGAGTTCAGATCCATACACATCTGGCTAAGGGAAACACTATATTCCCAGGACAATCGACCCTTGATAAGCTCATTATGCTAGTGGTTAGTGCAAAGGATAATCGAAATAAAATGTCAATTTTGATTTTTGGCAAAATCGCACAGCCTAGCCACTGAGCAGCTCATTGTAACATACCAAATGTTGAATTTTTCTCGTTACTCAATACAGAATATTGTAAATATAACAACTTGATATTGTAAATATCAATGTATACAGTGCTGTGAAAAAGTATTGACCCTCTTATAGATACCCGGTCTTTTTCAAGGCACTTAAATGTTAAAGATGAGAAATGTGCAGATTTAACCTTGGTAAATACTAACTGCAGTTTTGATATGATTCATTTATTTAGGGTAAAATCTATAGAAACAAACATCACCTTGTGTGAAAAGGGTAAGGTTTGAAAATTATAAAAGTTAACATGTTGCCCACTTTAAGAACCTTTAAGAACCCTGAAGCTGTACCTACATAACTTGAGGTTGTTTATGACAGGACGATAAGAAAGAAACTGAGCAAAAGTTGGATCTATGGGAGAATCCTAGGCCAAAATGCCCCAGCAGACCAAAAACATCACAAAGGCTTTTCTCACATGTTCATAAAATATTATGTAGCAATGTGATATATGTGGACATTTTTAAAGATATGCACTTTGTTGCAATTAGTGTAGAGCAAACAACTATTTAGAAAAAAAGGCACCATACCTTCAGAGACAGCTGTGGTAGTGTGATGTTCCAAGGCTGTTTCAATACTTGGTTGTTTTGCTGTAAATTTTGAAACCATTAGTCATCTACGTAGCAGACCATCCGGAAATTAAACGTTGGCTCATCAGTTTAGACACCCCTTAAGCCAGGGGTGTCCACACTTTTTTTTTTTTAACCTATTGACACATGATTGCTGTGTTTGTTTCTTCAATTATTTCACATGCAATAAATCCACATACATATACTCAACACATACTAGGTGATCCCGTGTGAAGTCCAACTCACATATGACGTGAAGAACACTGCACTCAGTGGGAGCAGTGATGCTGTCCTTTGTATCGAAGGATGCCTGACATGTCAGGAGAAAGTTTGGTGGTTGTGACACGAAGGACTTCCCGGAGATGTCTATCAGTCATTATTGTTCTCAGCCTGCTGTTGTTCTCATTTAGCAGAGAAAATGTTTGTTCACATCTTTATGTCGAGCCGAACAGGCTCATCATTCTTTTGAGTGGTGTCTCATCAAAGGAAACTTGCCGTTATCCAAACTCGGATAAAATTCAGGGAGGGAGAGAAGCTGATGTTGACTCTTCAGAGAATCTTCACATTGCATTTCAATCAGTTCTAACTGCATTTCATTTATTGAAATAGTCCTCAAATAATTTAGTTTATCATTTATCATTAAATGGAGTATAGAGACTCTAAAACATACCTTTAGCTGGCAGAACAACCTATTTAGAGCAGTAATTTTACCAAAATTGTAAAAAAAAAAAAAAAACCTATATAAACCTTTTGCATTTAAGATGAAAAACTTTTTGTCCGTCTTTATGCTCTATTCAGAACACCTCAAGTGGAAAAGAAACCTTTT